TAATATAATTAAATATTTTCCCTATCTAATACATCCATATCGTTTGCTGGTTTCTGAAACAGGGAAATTTTATATTATGTCATTTAGTCTCCTTCATTATTTATTTTCACCTCATGCAGAAACCAAAAAAATTAAAGATATTGTGTTTTCTCATCCCCAATCTTTAATACAACGTACTGAAAATATTGAAAATATTGAAAGTAATACTCTAAATAGAATCAAAGTTAAATGCAAAGAAAATTTAATAATAGGTAGCAAAGACTTCAAAATATATCATAATTATTTAGCTCAAAGTAATTGTCGTCTACTTCTCGATATGTTACACTCTCTATTTGTAACTATTATATGGATTGCTAATGGTGGAGGAGTTATACATAAACAACATACATTGGTACGCAATTATTTGACCTTACAAGGGAATATTACCTTAAAACCCACTCACTCCCAAAATCCATATAAAGTTACATCACGAAAACCTATTCATAATCCTAGACTACCTTCTTCTTCCCAACCACCATCTCAACTTGAACTAACATCATCTCCACCATCACCATTATCTAATAATGTTAATCAACAACTGAATTGCCAGAATCCATATGGTTTATGTCATGCACAGATTATTTACAGTTCATTCCATACAGATGAAATCAAATGTAATGTGGCTCAACATGTTCATAATTATGGTTGCCTTCATTTGTTGAATTATACTCCAACAGTTCTTGAGGAAGCCTTTAGTGAAACATTAACATCACACAGAGATAATATTCTAACTGATGTAATTGAAAATGAGATCAATATAATTTTAGCATTTATATCACAGATAAAAAAGGAGCTCGAGTCAACAATAATTTAATATATATATATATATATATATATATATATATATATATATATATATATATATATATATATATATATATATATATATATATATATATATATATGTCGTACCTAGTAGCCAGAACGCACTTATCAGCCTACTATGCAAGGCCCGATTTGCCTAATAAGCCAAATTTTCATGATTTAATTATTTTTCGACTACCTAACCTAACCTAACCTAACTTTTTCGGCTACCAAACCTAATCTAACCTATAAAGATAGGTTAGGTTAGGTTAGGTAGGGTTGGTTAGGTTCGGTCATATATTTACGTTAATTTTAACTCCAATAAAAAAAACTTGTCCTCATACATAATGAAATGGGTAGCTTTATCATTTCATAAGAAAAAAATTAGAGAAAATATATTAATTCAGGAAAACTTGGCTTATTAGGCAAATCGGGCCTTGCATAGTAGGCTGAGAAGTGCATTCTTGCTACTAGGTCCCCACAGACCAGTTTTAGACCAGGCCTATTTCTACCCCCAGGAAACAGCCCCTGACAGCACTGCTATGAAACAGGGGTATCAGGGTGAAAGACACTATCCAATGTTCGTATCCACTCAGCTGTGTGGTGGTCTAAATGGAAGATTATTCATGTGTAGATTAGAACTGAGGATAGTCGTGACCCCTGCAGGTAACCCCACATATTGACTAGATGACCATCGTATCCAAAATAACACAACTAAGTCAACAAGAATGTTGTTTCGTTATATATATAATATAATCATTAGTATACATTATTAGTTTAGATGTGAGAGACATTTTTTTATATAAAATAAAATAATAATGTCACTATCAAATTCCTTATATATTATAATATTTATAATAGTTTTAATTGTGATCTTTTCAATTATATATTTATATTATTCAAGAAATAGGTCAACAATTTCAACTCAGCATCCTCAACTGTCAATGAATTTCATTACAAAAACTAATACTAAACCTGCTGGTCTGTATGTTGTCTTTGAAAGTAAGTATTATATGGACCAAAATCGTGGTTACGATATGATTTCTCATGTAAATACAGTTAATTGTAATGATGATACAACGATTCCTAATGATGAAAATAATAATGTATTTTGTAAATTTGATACATCCATATTTGATCAATTTAGAAAAGAGAATTGGTATTTTAATACCTTAACACCGATAATTTTATTATCTATTCGTAATCTTCCAAATTTTTTACCTATTGTATATGAGAATATTGAAGATCTTCCATCCTCTGCAGATCATGAGATTACAAGCCTGCGTGAAAATATGAAGAAAAGCTCAATTGCTAATGGTAATAAGTTACCAAAATGTGTATGGGTATCTTGTTCACATATTTGGGTTAATAGTCCAAACAAATATACTCCGCAAGGTTTTCCTGTTTATTATTTTCCAACCAAGGAACATGTAGATGGATATTATGCCCCACTTCTTCCTATTCAATTGAAACTTAGCCCAGGTGAAAATATTATAATATGTAAAATGTGGGCAAAAAATATTAATATAATGAGTGATCCATTTGCTGTGGTTAAATTTAGGATCACGGTTAAAATGTAGGATTTATAATACTATAAAGCATGATATAGTAACCTGTTTAAATATTATTACTAAAAAGATAATTATATAAAAAATAAGGTATGTAGATTTGTTCTTGTGGAACAAATTATTCATTCTACTTTTGTATCAACACATCTTTATATATTTCTGAGCTTATAATATACAAAGAACTATTTTTTTTATCATTTTCAGATAATTATAAAGTGATGGTGATATTGGTTCTATTTGTTCTTCAAGATCCCAACTGTCAGCAAGGGTGGCGCAGTTGCTTTTTTTTTTTTGTAAACCATGAAAAAGCAATATGAAATCTACCCCAGAAAATATTCTGTTATAATACTAACAGCCCCCAAAAATATCATTCAAGTGTGGGATAAAATTGTCATATGGAGAAATAATTTAAAAATAAAAGTGGAATTTTTACAAAACTTTAATCCAACAATCAACTTGTATCATTTAGTGGAAAATTCATTTTTACTTATATTAGATAATGTTTCATCGATAAATGTAAGAAAAACATTTGCCGACGTATTAATTGATCTTCAAAACAGTGAAATAATTATTATAAAATGTGCTTCAATTACTTGGCCCTCAATAAATAAAGTGGAAAACTTTAATTTAAAACATTTTGAAGATGTTAAGATTATTTTAAGTATGAATGACTGGGAACGAAATTATGTATTGGTAAATAAGTACCTTTCATATGAATTTGCAGACATTAGTATTAAACCTCATTTAAAATCTTTAAATATTTTAACAGAAGATATAGGGAGTATCAATTCAGAAAAATTGAGAGCAAATCTACTTGATACTTGGAACAATGAAATACCCCCTATATACCCTTCTGAAGTTCTCCCAGATAGTGAATATACTGTTACTGAAGTAAATAGCAACAAACGCAGCAGTGAGTCACAATCAGGTTCAATTGGCATGCCTTCAAAACATAGGAAGTATTACTGCCTGGTGTTATAATGGATACTGCTCATTGGGAAGCGTGTCAAAGAAAAGAATATATATGTGTGTGTATGTATATGTATGTATGTATATATACCTATTTTAGTTTACATAAAATATAGGATGGAAGAACATGTACGTAGTAAATTAATCTCTTTTTTACTCAAAATTCAATAATTTCATTCGTTTATTATGCTATGATAGTGAACATAATGTTAAAATAAATATTTTATTTATTTATTTATATATTTTTTTCAGATGATTGAACCCTTTTTGATTAAAAATCCAGGACGTTTTACATTGTTCCCAATTAAAAATCATGATATCTTTAAAATGTATAAGAAGGCGCTAGCATCATTTTGGACAGTTGAAGAAGTAGACTTGTCAAAGGATATTGTAGATTGGGAACAGAAACTTAATGACGAGGAACGTCACTTCATTTCACATGTTCTAGCATTTTTTGCCGCATCAGATGGTATCGTCAATGAAAATCTTGTTGAACGTTTCTGCCAAGAGGTACAAATACCAGAAGTGAGGTGTTTTTATGGTTTTCAGATTGCCATGGAAAATATTCACAATGAAATGTACAGTTTACTTATTAATACATACATAAAAGATTTACAGGAGCAGAACAGATTATTTAATGCTATTGAAACGCTGCCAGCTGTTAAGAAAAAAGCTGATTGGGCTCTAAGGTGGATTACCAATAGAACGGCAACATATGCCGAACGCATTGTTGCCTTTGCTGCAGTAGAGGGTATTTTCTTTAGTGGTTCATTTGCTGCAATATTTTGGTTAAAAAAACGTGGTTTAATGCCAGGTCTAACCTTCAGTAATGAATTGATTTCTAGAGATGAAGGGTTACACACAGATTTTGCTTGCTTGATATTTAAGTACTTGATTAATAAGCCTGATCAGAAATATGTATATTCTATCATTGATAATGCTGTGAAGATTGAACAAGAATTTTTAACAGATGCCTTGCCAATCAAACTTATTGGTATGAACTGTGATCTAATGGGGAAGTATATAGAATTTGTGGCTGACCGACTTCTCTTTGAACTCGGTTTTAAGAAACTTTATAATGTAGAAAATCCATTTGACTTTATGGAAAATATCTCATTAGAAGGGAAAACTAATTTTTTTGAAAAAAAAGTAAGTGAATATCAAAAATATGGTGTAATGAATTCAGATCAATACAGTGTTTTTACATTAGATTCAGACTTTTAGTTAATTAGTTGATGGATGGAATAGAACATGTTTTTTTTTATATAGAATATAAATAATTTAATATAAAAATAAAAATATATATCTATTATCTTTTACTATTTTACTTATCATATTTATATTTTGACTTGATGAATAATGAATTAAATACCTTACATTCTCTCTTTCCACTAATTACAAGACTACAAAATATGAGGTATGTAATTATGGACATAATAACAAAACCATAATCTTCTTTATAAAATATCAACATATCACATGATTACCAAGCAGTACTACTATCGTCCGATGTAAACACCAAGTTTGGTTATCGCCATTGAATCAACTTTTCTATTTTATATTCACCAATGAATATAATTCAAAGAGAGAAATGAATCATTACATTAAGTTCCATGCAATATGCCGGTGATACAATATATAAGAGCCTCCGTATCCAGTCCAGTCAACCAGTATGCCAGAATCCTGTTCAGTAGTAATACGGGCTACTGTGTAATGGAGCTATCCAAGGAATCTTGTGGTGTAAGTACCTAAAAGTTATTTTATGATAAGCATGATGAAGCTTTGGACACTATATTATAATAAATAAATAAATAATGTCTCAGGTGCATTTGTGATGAAATCTAATCTTTCTAGGATGATATTAGCGATATCAGTGAGGGAGCCGAAGAGAAGAAGATAAAAGAGAAAAAAGATACTACTTCAACTAGCAAGTCTATTATTGTTAAAATAGAAAACCATATCCATTCCAATGATGAAAATGTGGCTTTGAGAAAGTTGGTTAATATAACGCCTGAGACTATATCAAAAAAACAACGTTATTGTGAAATTAATACTCAAAGTTTATTACAAATATTAGAATGGTTTGCTAACCACGATGGAACCAATGTGTTGCTGTATGAATTTGCCCACAGTGCATCATGTCAAAAAAAAACTTGTACCCCGATTTGTCTAATGTTTCGCCGGGTTCGTCATCATGTAGTAGTTTCTAGACATCCACATTGTTCGGTGTTAATCTTATATTCAACCCTCTTGCATACACATGTGTCTTCATGTGTTAATGATGATTGTGGGTTGCCTGCTTGTCATAGACTGAAAACCACCAGATCAACTATAAAGTTTCGTCTTGCCAAAAAGAAGTGTGGTTGTTAACTCAATGTTGTCTGCTGGATATATATTATTGTTAAAATTTTTAATTCGACCTATTAACAGAAGCGCATTATGATATTGATTGAAGTGTTTTTTTTTTTTGTTTTGTTTTTTCCATAATATTTGACAAACGAACTTCTGTGAAGAAAAGACGCTTTCCTATTTCTGCAACGGAGGCCTGTCGCTGGATATTTATTGATTTGTACTAGTTAGTGATATGTTTTATTGAATGTTTTCTTCATACCACTGACTAGTTAAATTAATATATATTTACAAACATAAGGCAATTGTGATCTGTTGTAGGTCATTTGGTGAGATGGTGTGTTAAATGGTTTCACCATAATGTGTGAGGATTCGATGAACATTGTTTTAATTTCACTGGTCGAATCAAATAGGGGCAATCATCAGTTTCAGATGCTTCACCAACAACCGGGCTCATCATCAATGGCATTACATATTGCAATCTGTGCTCCTTCCTACTTCAATAATGAAAATGATGAGGTCTTGCGAAAGTGGAATCAACTTCAAGCTTTTTGGGGGTTTGGTAAAGGTAAATATGTGGATTTTATTTTTTTTCAATGTGGTAGTGAGTAAACCATTATGGAAAACTTAGTAGATTTGACTAGTTGTTTATAATATTGTAAAATGTATATAATTAAAATAGTATAATTTTATGAATTTTATTCCAGGTTATTATTCGTCCAATATGTCACCTGTAGAGTTCACATCTGAAAATCCATATTGTCGTTTCAAAGTAGTTTGCTATACAAAAATTCCCAATTATCGTAATGAAGATGGTATTGTGCAAATTATAATTGGAAGGGGCCTTTCAGAAGTGGAGTAAGTAATTAATATTCATATACTTGTATAATATTCTAATAATTTTTCAGTGTTAAATATGACTAGGATCCGGGAACATTAAAAAATGTTTTTTTTTATTTTTTTTTTTATTCTTCCAGGGCCTACAAACAGGAAGTTATTTCAGCATTGAGTCTATTATTCGGAGGTAATGAAGTTGTTGTTAATGAAATTTTTGCTGCTGAAGTACCAAACAAAACGAACTTCAGATTTTACATTCAGCAAGTTTTTCCTAATGGTAAAAGAATTTAAAGATTTTATAATGTTTTCCCTAATAATAATTATCATAAAAAATGATTTCAAGTATGGTATTATGCAAACTGCTCTATATTATAATATACCTTCTAGGAGAGATTCAACGTGCATCTACCACTGACACCTTTAGTCATATGTTAAGAGCATCATACAATTCAATTTTTAAGGTAAGCCTAAAGTAAGCCTTATTATAGCTTGCACCAATATATTTAATGGGAATTGATATCAGGTTGGCTTAAATAATCAAATTAGCTTAAAAGGGACATTATTAATGGAACGTTTTTTGATAGACAGACAGAGACAAAAATGCCTACTTTTTCTGTTTCAGAATTTGTTTATTGAACAGATTATTCCAATGTTGACTTTAACTGAACAACAAATGAAGAAATATCTTGATACACCGCAAAGAGGTAAATGATTTTGATATGACCAATCCATCTACTTATCGTGACATAATGACAAAAGTGAAGATATTACGGGGTATTTTTTTCCTACATTTGTGGAATTAAAAATTAAAATAAATTATTTATTGTTTATAGGAATTGATCCAGCATTGTGGGAACTGGGCAAGCAAAAAAATCCTGACCCAAAGAAATTGATACCTGTTGTAAAAGTGGGATTTCAGGAATTACAGAAACAGTTCAAGTATCAAGAAGAATATGGTAATAAAATTCATAATAGTATGAAGAATATTATGGATGATATAAGACAATTAAGTTGTATGCAGACGACAATTAAAGTTACCATTCAGAATTTTAAGTTGAAACAGACAAATATAATGCGCCGAGTTCTAAAATTGGTGTCAGCACAAGAGGTTGAAAGGAAAAAAAATCTACCACTAGAAGAAATAGAGGATCAGATTCGACTGCGATTAGAAAACTTGTATATGCAGCTGCAGGACCTCAAGGGATGTTTGAATGAACTAATGGCTCAGTCTATAAAGCCTGGTAGTTTTCCGCGAGCCCAACGGTATGGACTGGTTGTTGACAAAGTGCAGGATATATTACAATACCTAAAATGGCAGCAGGATGCACTTCAGGCTATAGTTAACATACTTAAGGAAGATATACAAGTGGTCGTTAACATAAAGAAGAACATCAGCTAAGTTTTGAGAGTTAAGGAAATTGGCTAACCGTCAACCAACTTCCCCAAACCACATTCAAACATTGGTAATTAACCCTATCATTGTTTAACACCTCCCTCCACCCTTTCAGGGAGGGTATGATGCTACACTGAATTTTTTTTTGTTCGTAACTAGCAACACACATTGAACTGATGATATTTCACTCTCTCAGGGAGGGTATGATGCTACACTGATTTTTTGTTTGTAACCCGCAACACACACATTGAATTGATGATAGTCAATAAATTAAATTTTAGTCTAGTTCCTTTTTTTTTTTTTTTTTTTCACATACAATAAGTGCACTCTGCCCATTAGGCAAAGTATTATAATAATTTTGCTAGATATTGATGACACTGACATTTTAACGGAAACTTGAAATAATTGACCTAGAATGTAACAACAATGTTTGTGTTGTCTTACAGGAATAATTTAGTCAAATAAGCACAAACTATAAACTGCCAGCTTAACCAAGAAAGCCTGCCAGTGATTGGTCAATATAAAATATTCAGCGTGTGAGGGTTAATATCAGAGTCAGTCGATTTTGCTCCAGCATGGAGGACACACCTACAATTTCCTCTCCATTAACATGTGGACAGAAACAACAAGAAAGAAGTGATAATAACGATACTAGTGTTGATGAAGAACCATTACCTTCATCATCCACGTCTTTACCTTTGGGACAAAAAGTTAATGAAGGGTGTGAGAGAGAAGAAGAGGTGATACAAAAAAAGGAATTTGAATTAAAAATTAACCAAATGTTGGAAAAAGGTGGGCATGGAAGCCGGAAAATTTTCACTCGAGATAAATTAGCCCAATACATCGAGGAAGTCAAAAATGCTAAATTGAAACTGACTACAAAGACCTCTCATGAATATGATCTATTGTCTCGATATGATGTCAAAAATCTATTTGGGGATGATGTCTTAGTAACCATCGACGAAACTGAACGAAGAATGAAGCGGGGGACCAAGCGTAAACTGACCAGTGACAATCGTCATTCTACTACGGCTGTAACAACAACAACAACAACAGGAGCAACAACAGCTGATCCTGGCCGGATGTGTCGTCGTTTCATACATCAAGGGCAATTGTATGATACGATTTATGATGCACACAGAGCAGTTTGTCACGGAGGAGAAAAAAGAACTTATTTTGAAGCAAGTAAAACTATCGCTAACGTCACTCAACAATCGGTGAAACTCTTTATTTCACTCTGCCACATATGTAATTTGAAACGACTTCCTCGACGAAAAAAGGGGGTAATACGGCCCATTGTATCGACCAGTTTTGCGGAGCGAGGACAAATGGATTTAATAAATATGCAAAAAGAAGGAGGATGTGTGTATAAATATATTTTACATTATCAAGATCATTTAACAAAGTTTTCGGTTTTACGAGCTCTTCGCAGTAAACGGGCGATTGAAGTGGCACGCCACTTACTCGATATATTTGCTCTCTTGGGAGCCCCACGAATTCTGCAGAGCGATAACGGCCGTGAATTTGTGGCAGAGGTGATTCAAGAGCTAAAAAACGAAATGTGGCCCAACATGCTCCTCATTAATAGCAAACCTCGTCATCCACAGAGCCAAGGGAGCATTGAACGTGCGAATGGGGATGTAATCAAAATGCTTGGCAGTTGGATGTGTGAGAATCAAACGCGAGATTGGTCAGCTGGACTTCCCTTTGTGCAATTCACCAAAAACACAGCATATTCACGTGGAATTGGCATATCGCCTTACAAGGCAGTTTTTGGTATAGAACCGCCAATAATTATGAAGATTCGTCTTTCGCCCTCAATATATAGCCAATTGTTCAATAACTGTCACTATGATGACAATGAAGAAGAAGAAGAAGAAGAAGAAGACAAAGAGGAAGAAGAAGAAGAAGACAAAGAGGATGAAGAAAAAAGAGGCAAAGAAGCAAAGGTAAAATTCCTTAATATTTATTGGTTTTGTTTTCAGTTCAACCTTGGAAAACAAAAGTCCTCAATTAATTTCTGTATACTAAAATTTTTTTTTTTTATATAATTGCAGTATTCCCTGTCATCATCAAGTCCGCTGCTGCGTCAGATTTCTTCACCGTTGCCAGACATGGAAGAAATAATTTTTGATGAGGTTGAGGAGGTTACTGTTACTGTTGCTGCTGGTGCTACAACTGCCTCTACTTCCATATTATCCCTGCCACAAATACCGCCACCTTCATTACCCCCTATATTATCACCACCAACACCATCATCACCTGGTATTGTGCTGTCGCCTAAAGTAATAATAAATAGAAGATTATGTAATTTAGAAGATGGTAAACCTAATGATAATAATAATTCTGAAGTAAATAACGATTCATATAATTTACATATTGAAAATTTAGGAACTATTAGAAGCAAAGTTTATGAGCGTCAGATAACTAATGCCTCAAAAATGTTACAATTGTCATCGGCAAATGTAACACCTGTTAGCCTATATGATAGTGTTAATGTGATAATACCTAAAGAAGATAGGGAAAACAAAACAGGAATGCGAACAATCAGTGGAATTATCATCGAAATAGACAATGAAAGAGATTTATATCGTGTAGCTACAAAATTTGGAACAATTAATCAATATCTATCAAGAAACGATTTTGATAAAACAATCGAAAGAATAATGCCAAGCGAAATTAATAAGAATCAACAACTTGGGCTTCGTGAGATTGTTCGTAGACAATCAAATTACTTTCTCAGTGATAATAGGCACTTGAAACAATTAGTATGCCACTGTAAACTTTTATCTTGTTTAAATCATAGATGTATTTGCAAAAGAAATAATCAGAAATGTACCCAAAAATGCCGGCATAATGAAAATTTATGTAAAAACTCATAGCACCAAAAAGTAAAATGCCGTTTCGCTCGTTTTTCAATATATATATGGTTGGTTTGGTTTAAATACTCATCAGTAAAGAATTATATTTTGTATTTGGGCTTATTATTTATTACCAGTTCACAAACTGTTATTTTGATTGATTCTGACAGAGTATAGAACACAGGTGAGGAGACTAAAAATAATCTAATGAACTCAGCCTTATTAGGTAAATGGGGTCTTTCTTGCACAGTAGGCTGAGACGTTTGTTCTCTGGCATAGAACGTACTTCTTAGCCACTATGCAAAAAAGACCCCATTTGCCTAATAAGGCAGAGTGATTTTCTTGTTGTGTTAGTTTATTTAAGTTAATTCGTTTTAACTCAAATATAAACAAATTAACTTAAACAAACATGAAAGTTGTAGGCCAAGTGCGACGTCCCCTAAAGCCTATAAAAAATTAGAGGTCATTCATACAATTAACTATAGTATTTGGAGGAGCCACTTTGCAATTTCCGAGAACACACCAGATTACATCAGACTTCTGAATTACAAAAACGTTTCCTCTGGGGAATAGCAAATGAGTATATATGACAGGAAGGATTTTGATATTTCGAGTCAGTAACCCAAGACAGACATATGGGCTGAATAAGTATTGGTCATCATTATTTGATATTATATAACCATCAATTAGGTTATGACTGAATCTATCAAATATCTGAGACTCATATACGAGACCAACTGGCTCATAACACTTTACATACTGTGGATACCTATTTATTTGCCCACTCCTCCTGCGAGTACAACTCCATCTTTTCTTTAAGGCTCCCATGACATAAGTTTTTTCGTCCATATTCTGATTACTGGTTCCTAAAGCCATTACGCCTAAGGTTATAGGCTCTTTCAATATTTCAGCCCTTTTATAACCAAATTTATATAATATTAGCGAAGGTACACAGAGACCAATGGGAATTTTCTTGCCTTGTAATTTACATTTTATAGTCCTCTTTGCAGTACCTTCCCTTTCATGTAATGTCGTTGAAGAAGCATTACAAAGGTCAGGTATTTTTAACCTCTCGAATATTGAAAGAAATGGAATATTATACTCATCTTCATTAAACCACTCACAGATTTTTCGTTTCCTTTTAATTTCAAAACGGGGATGAATAAATGTCAACCTTAGATCTACTGGATACAATTTACAAACTTTTTGATCTGTTTTAAATGAAGGAAAAATTCCACATCTTTCGGCATCAGTATCCATAGTTTTTATTACTTCTTCATAAAATCTCCCAACTATATCGGAAAAGTTGGGAGGTTCTCCATTGTCGAGGGTACCATTTGCAACTGTGAACTTTGATGTAATTTGTTCTTTCCATGTAATGTAGTTTTTAGGTAGCAATACTCGTATTGACGGAGACTCAATAAAGTATATCAATACTGGTACATCTTCCGGATGTATTAATTCAGCGATTGCTATGAACCCTCCTTTTTTTGTTTTTTCATATTTTACAAGTGTATAACCTGAATATTCGATGGGAATGAAGTTTGAAAGTTTATCAACAAGCCAGTCCTTCCCAATGAGGCAATATATTTTAATATCTTTATAATTGTTCAACACGCCTAATGTAGCAGAGGCATATTCTCCACAAATGGCAGCTGATCCTCTTGCTTGACCAATTATGTAGCTGGCAAGTTTCATTTTAGGGGTATGGATTGAAATCATAATTGTAATCTTACCTAATAAAAAATATCTATATCCTTTTATAATGAATAAATATAAAAAAAAATCCACTATATAAAGAAGTGTGTGACCAAGAAAATCAAAGTCATTAATCCTATAAATTAAGGTAATGGATTGGAATCAATTATTAGTATTATTATTAATATTGACCGTAAGAAAAAGTACTACTGTTTGTTTTGCTCATTCTATAATTCCATGGGCTCCATTATCTATTAAAACTCCATATATGACATTTATAAATGACCCATTCCATCCTACATGGCAAACAAGACATCAACAATCAAAAACAAAATTATTTAAAGAAAAAGTAATGATCCCAACTGTTTATAATATTTCATTTTCAATAACATGTGGTGCATGTTATACATACTCTTATTTCTTATATCCAAAATTAACTATAAATGTAGATATAAATGAAGAAACAGAGGGACGCTTATTATACGAAACTTTTCCAGATCATAATAAATACTATATAGGATGTAAAATATATGAATGTAAAATGACCACGGTTAAGATTAAATTAAATAACCCTTTGGAAACATTAGAGGGAAGAATAATTTGTCATTTGAATCGTGGTATTCAACATACTAAAGAAATTCTACTCTTTAAAGGAATAAGTAGAGTAGAAATACGTAAAGTAGAAAACAACCAGTGTGCACTTCCTATTAACTTAACATTGTTGAATTCTTTCATTTCAAGCCGAACTTTTAGTAAAAATGAAGATATTTGCTATATATATCCGATAGTAAAAGACCTCCTGGAATTTCTTATT